TTATATATAAATATATAATATATATATATATATATATATGTGTATAGGATATATTAGTAATTCAAGTTTGAATTATTTAAAGCAATGAAGATCCAGTTGTTGTAATAGGCATTTTAAATTTCTAGTATTGATTGTATTCTCACATATGCGATCTAAAATAAAGATTATTAAATAAATAATTAAATTTTAGGCATATTAATGACAATATTCTAATTTTCTTTTAAATTAGGTTATAGCATTATGTTTAGCAAACCGGAAAAGAAAGTGCCACCTCTTTTCCCTTTCTTGTTGCCTTTATCTACAAAAGTATGGATCTACATGGCTATTGCTTATCTCGTCGTATCAATAATGTTATTTGTTCAGGCAAGGTAAAATTTTTAGAAACAAAATACTTTATAATTAAAAAAAAATAAAATTATAAAGTAATAAAAATGGAATAAAAATTATCCTTCTTAAAAAATACTAAAATTAATATTATAATTAGTAGAATGAAAATAAATCGTTAAAAAAATGTGACTTGTATTTCGTAAATTTCAATTCTTTCTTAAGAATGGCACCTGATGAGTGGAACAATTCGCATCATTTATGCAATGCTGATCCTGAAGAACTCAAAAATAAGTTTAACTTCAAAAATTCGTTCTTCTTAATTATTAGTTTTTTTATGCAACAAGGTTCAAACATACTGCCCAAGTAAGCTTCAATGTGATATCATTGCATTATAATTAATAAACATATTTTAAATATTGAAGAAATTATTTTTTTAATCAAGAGTTAAATGTTTTAAACTATTACAGTATTACATTAATAAAATCACTTTTATTGTAGAGCATCATCTCTGCGCATGCTTACAAGCATGTGGTGCTTCTTTACTTTGATCATATACAGCTTATATACAGCGAATCTAGCCGCTTTTCTCACAGTAGATAAAATGGACCCTCCTATTAAAGGAATTGAGGACCTGCCCAAACAGTCAAAAATTAAATATGGTGCACTAAGAGGTGGCGCAACAGCAGCATTTTTCAAAGTATATTAGCAGCTTATTTATGATCATATTTGGCTCAATATAAAAATAACTTACAGATATGATTCAACATTATCTAATTGTAGAATTCAAATTACTCAACGTACAAACAAATATGGGCCGTAATGGCAAACTCTAGACCAAGCGTATTCACATCAACTATTGAAGAAGGTGCGCAATTCTAAAATCGAACATACACCACCTATGTGAAAAATACATGAAAAACCTTCTTTCTTCAAAAAGGGTTACATTATTCGAAAAAAACAAATTTTTTCTTTTTTGAATTCTATTTTTCAAATATATTAATTTTCTGTTACAATATTCCATTCTAGGCATTAACCGAGTTCTCAACAGTAAACGACAATATGCCTTTCTCATGGAAAGTACCACTATTGAATATAATACGGAGCGCAAATGCGACATAATTAAAATAGGCAATGTGCTTGGAAACAGAGGCTATGGTATTGCTATGCCACGCAGTAATATAACTTCATTACAATACCAATATTTTTCCATATTTCTTTATCTTTATATAAACCATTTCTTTTGTATCTCTTCTACAGATTCTCCATACAAAACACATATTAACTATGCGATCCTGAGATTAAGAGAGAAAGGTATACTGCAAAACTTGAAGACAAAGTGGTGGAATAATAAGGGAGGAGGTTTATGCAAAAAAGATGAAATGGAAAAGAATAAAAGCATATACGAATTAGAGATGGCAAATGTTGGAGGTGTATTCTTCATTCTAACATGTGGTTGCAGCGTTTCGTTCTTTATCGCAATTTGCGAGTTTCTGTGGCATGTACGTAAAGTCGCTGTGATAGAGAAGGTAAATCTTCACTTTACCTTGTTTGTTATATTAATTTTTTTTATGATAAATAAAGTAAATTAATTTTCTTCCTTTTAAGAAAAAGAAGCATTCAAAAAACTTAATGTACATATAAAATTTCTTTCTTTTTATTGTAAATTGTGATATAAAATTCGCGAAGTATAATACGCGAATTTTAACTATATGTATTATATGTCTTTAATAAGTTAATTACTGCATCGCTATATATATATATATTATTGCAATATACTGAAGAGGAACTTAATTATCATCTTTCATACAGATCTCGCTGTGGGAAGTGCTAGTTGCCGAGTTGAAATTCGCCGTGAACATCTTCGCAATTACGAAACCCGTTAAAATTGCCAAGAGCAGCAACAGTAACATAAGTTTCAGGGAGGGTGGACTTGATAGAGCTGTATCCAGGGCTTGATCTATCATTGATAGATCTATCTTTCTTATGAGTTGATATTCGGTATTATAGTCAGCTATTATGGTAAAAACCAGAAATATTATGGTCAGCTATTATGGTAAAAACTAGAAATAGAAATAAATGTATGTGTGTGTGATTATGAAATTAAGTAATTAATTATTTCTATGAGTATTTAAGTTTAACTACGAATTTTTTAAATAATACAGCATCTACATTGAAAGCACTAATTAAATAAATATTCATATATAAATAGATAATATATATAGGTGTTTGTAAAGATGTATTAGCACGGAGATTATTAAGTACGGTTCGATATATTCACTAAGTCAAACGATTATGAGTCAGTCATCTTTGTGTGTATACCTCTTTTCTGTAATATTATTTTCAAATGTTAATGATACCATTTTGTATAACAGTTAACATAATTCGTCAATAAATAAAAATTAGATTTGCTTCATCAACTGTAGATTCAGACTTCAATCCATTAAAAAAACCTTAATGAAAGCATGCATGCTTTAAGATAAAAAGAAAATAATTTTACATTTTCATTTCTATAAGTAAAAAACAGGTTAAAAGTATTCTGTATTGTTAGCATGTACTTAAATAAAATCTTTTTTTTAATATGAAGCGGTGGTTAAATTTATCTTATTTATTAATCTTGAATGACTTTTGATTTAGAAAATATGTTTTAATTTATACTGTCAAATGTGAATAATAATATGTGAAAAAGATTAATCTATTTCGGTATATATGTATATAATGCAAGAAAAAAGTTCAAATTACTTGTTTCGACATTATAATATAATATGATCGCGATAAAAGATTAACGTTAACTACTTAAAGTTTTTTATGAGTTATAAATATGCGTAATTTTTATATTGTTATCCTTCATTAATTTACTACTTCATTTATTCTAATTTTTTTGCTACATAAATAAAAATATATTCTTTTCAATTTTATTTTGAAAATAAGACATTTGAATTATAAATTGTAATAAAGTTGAACCAAATTAAAAACAGAAAAACAAAAAATATAGATTATTTGCATTTATTACAATTTAAACTTGACTTTCTCCCTATTTGTTAGATTACAACCAAAAAAAATCCTTACTATTTATTAATATTAATTTATTTAATTAAATGAACAAAATATGAATTTATAATTTTAATAACGCGTTTATTTGAATAGCTTATATTTAAATATAGAAAGATAGAAATACAAAAGCTACTAGAACAATGTGCGATATAGTCATTACGATTCTCATAACAAACGATACGAAACTAAGCGTATATAAAATTCGGTATATGATTCGGATTCAAATTCAGATCAGTGTATAGTAGAACAACATCAAAGCAGAAACTTCGCGAATACAGTTTTCCGATTACAGTTTCTATCGAAAGTATCTTTGCTTTGAATAAAGATCTTAATTGATTCCAATTAGAAAAATATTGAATTGAAACAATGAGAGAATACGTATAGAATGACCACCGACATGACAGTGGTGAGGATAGAAATCGAATAGAGTGAGAGGCAGATAAATGCATGAACGTTCTTTCTCTGTTTACTGAAGTCTGATTGGCTGTTGATCCAGTAGTACTGCTATATATATGTTATAATTATAGAACTACTTTAAACATTTTCAATTTTCTATTCTTGGAATATATATATATATATATATATATATATATATATATGTAAAATGTTATAAAAGATCGCATTCAAGCATGATAATAATTTAAAACGGGACAAGAGAATTATTTTTTAAGATCACAAAAATTTGTGTGTAAATTGAAAAATAAAACGAGTTTAAAGAAGGCTTTACATTACATTTTTGTTCTATAATAATTTTAGATATATTATTAATTTGTTATATATACTTAATCAATATTGTATTATTTTTCATATATATTATAGCTTGAAACTTTCTTGAGGAAGGTGGCAGTCATTTTTAGACCTATAAGCAGGTATAGGGCCTAAGCACAAAGATGATCGTAACTGAGTCATGGAACGTAAGTCGTAGTTGTAGGTTGACTATAACATTGTGCGTTGACCTATGACTACAATTCATGTTTCACGATTCAATTACGACCATCTTTGTACTGAAGTCCATACTCATGGTATACTTGCAGCTCAATTTGATATACCGCACATCGATAAATTTTATGCCAATAGCCTTGGGACTCGACGGAAAGGTATTCAGTATCGCGAATTTAATATGCCGATCGTTTAATAATTACTCCTTTATTAACGACGCAGTTGGCTTTAGTCGTTAAAAATTGAATATTAGCTTGCCTTTACGAAGTCTACCATTAGAACTCCTCGATCACAGATTTGAATAACTCATGATAAATAACGGAATACGCCCGCAATACATGTTTTTGTTGTAATCAGAAGCCAACGAATTTATTTTACATGAGGTCAGCTAGGCAGCGCCGTACCTTTGTAGTTATAGTAGCCGACTCATTAATCGCCCGTCACAGTCGTAATAAGCTCTTAATCTTCTCGCAGGTCCGCTACCTGTGAGTAACTGCCGTTTCAGAGGCGTCGTAAACCCTGCGAATCTTGAATATCTTGAGAAATTCTGCATCTTTGGGTGGAGAAGCGAACACGAGGAAAAGCGTACGAGTGTTACAGCAGATAATTAATCACGGTAATTAATTCATTTAATATGTAAAATCTCTGTAACTACGGTCACGCCGGACTTTATAATGAATTTGACTCACACGATTGAGTTTATGTGAGCCTTAAGATCTATATACTTTTAAGATCTTTCGCGAGAGACGCTGACACCATACGCAGCTTAGGAGAAATTTTTTATTGATTTTTTTTTCTCGTGTTTATGAAGTTCTTTGCCGTTAGTCCAGCGGTAAACTTCAAATATAAGACAATTGTATAATATTGCGCAAACTTATAAAAAGATGTGTGCGGTGTATGGCGAAAGTGCAAAGAACGCCTGTGCCAGAAGTGGTTTGCGAGATTTCGTTTCGGAGATTTTTCTGTTCAAGACGCACCATGTTCAATGCTTCTTTGACAGAAAAAAACAGAAAGTCCTTGAGCAACGGATTATAAAATTGTTCGAAAACTATAGCAAACAGTGAATTACAATAGCTAATACATTCTTAACTAAAGTTATTGTCTTCTATAAAGAAATTGCCTTTCATTTATAGATAAAAATTTTGCACGAAATTATTGGTCAAGCTAATACTATACTGCATTCAACTTCACATACAAAAGCAAAAAACTTTCATTTATTTTTTATATACTTTTATATACTTTTAATTAGTATTTCTGTTAAATAAAGGAAGATATATTTAATGCATCAGTTTACGTTGTTAAAATATCTTTTAAGCATCAGAGATCTTTTCTCGACATATTTTTGATATTTCATCTCATGAAATTATAATTTTGATAAATACATATTTCTTAGAATTTTTCAAAATTTTAAAACAGTTTTTCAAAACAATTTTATAAGTTTTTAGAAAATTTCTCGAAAATCTCTCTTCAAACTGGAATATTTTTCAGAAATGCCGAGAAAGATTCTATATATCTTTTCTTTATATACATATGTGAATTCTAAAATATTTTAAGATTTCTGAAATTTCTTATTCTCTCTCTATAATTTTGGATAAAATCTTACAAAATCTGAAAAAGTTTAAGATCCTTTCAGAAATCCTTTCAGAAATTATAGAATGAAAAATCTTAAATTTTAGAATACTTCAGAATTTATATGGGTACATGAAAAACTCTAAGAAAAGATGTAGATTTTCTCAATAACTTTGAAGAGTGTTTCAATTCGTATAAAAATTTTGTGAAAAATTTTTACTAATTCACTTATGTGATAGACAAGAACAACGATATTAATTCTGTAAATTTGATTTTGAAATGTTCTGGATGCAATGTTTTATGCAAGTAGACACCAAGTAGATAACAATTAATATATTCGTGATTGATTCATTAGGACTTTCCAAAGCTACAAGCTCGCTCCAAGGATTAATTACAGATCAATCATGAGCGGTGTCAAAGTATTTTTCTCAAACAAGATTGTGTATTGACTGGCTTAGAATAATACATCGGAAAATATGCGCGAAGCCGACAAACGAGATTAATCGTCGCCGAATACGGTGGATTGTTGCACTCGCAATTAAAGAACGTTAATAAAGCACCGGAGGCAAATCGTTTCGCGCTCAACGGAATGTGAAAGTAGATAAGTCGCTGCAACTAGTTGTATATCTCGTGCCGGTCTCGATGGCGAGCGGCAAACCTCATTATCGATTTCCAACTTAATTGAGATTGGTTTCGTTAACGGATTACAGCCGGATCGGTTCCGCAAACCAATTCAACATTCGGAACAAATGTCATTATCACGATCAACAATTTATGGGCAAGCTTGACTACGTGCCAATTAAAATGCCATCTTCAAACTGGTGACCGCCGGACTCAACTTTTTCATCATCGCGCGTAATCTCCATCCATAAATATCGATAAGATCAGCGCGAGCAATCAAACCGGATGATTACATAGCAATATCACGTTATGCAAGCTCTGACTTTTAAAATGTCAACGTCGTTGAATTTTACGGCTTAATTTAAAAGATAATAAATCAAGTTCTTGTCATGATGTAATTAACTAATAATGTTACAAAGGAAGTGACTATCACACTGAAAAGGAGACATTAATATACTTATCCTTTTAATAATTATCCTGAAATAACCGCAGCTGGCCGGAAACTTGCAGCCCACGCAACGGTATACTCGTTATTCCCATCGTTTGGCCGTGAAAAAATATCAAAATATACTTTCTATCATCGTAACATAGCCGTATATCAGAAAAGTGGATGTCGTATATTAAAAGGCACGGCAAGCGGCGATGGCGTTTCTCGAGATGGCGTGACTCCAACGCTATCGCATGGCAACCTTGCCGTGCATTATCGCCGATTAATAAGCCCTACGTTCTAAGAAAGCACCTCGGGGTTACGTACTTACTCGACATGCATCCCGCGTTCATGGATCATCGCCACGAGGGAGAGGAAGAATTGCCTCGGTCTTTAACATCGCGCACTCATCTCTTTTATGTGCGAGAG